TTTCAAAATAAGTAGAAATGATAAGAAAATGAATATTGATAAAACTAAAGACAGTATCAACTTAGAGACTGATGTCCATAATATAACTTTTAAATGGGGCAGGAACGCTACTCCATCCGATAATGGAGAAAATGAAACACATGAAACTATACGTGAAATGATGAAAAAATAATAGTTAAAATTATTTCTATTATTATTTATAATGCAAGATGTTATGAATAATATTATTAAATTCATTGATGTAAAAGAATTGAAATTAAATAATTTTATTGAAGAATATAACGAAAATGATATATTAATTAATTTTGTCAATGACTTTAGAAATAGTAAAATTGATTTTAACATGTTTTTTAATTCTATTAATTATGCTGATTTATTTGAACAATCGGATTTAAAATTTTATTGTAAAAGAATATATTCATATACTTTAAGATTTATTGCTAATTATGATAATAAAAATGCTATTCAGTTTTATGAAATTACATTGAGAAAAATGAATAATATTTACAAGAATAGTAATATTAATGTTGTTAATGTTTTTGAATGTATTAAATGTTTAATAATTTATATTACAGATAATATTGAAAAGTTTCATAAATATTCAAAATTTAGAAAAACTATTATTTGTAATTTAATTGGTAAATTGAATAATCATTTAACTAGTTATACAATAACTAATTTTGAATTGACTTATAATGATATATGATTTTGTAAAATAAAAAGTTTAGTTTTAAAAGTTTTATTTTATAATATAATATATATATTTACATGGATGAAGGATTAGAAAAGATTGTTAAAAAACTGAATAAGGTTTTGGAACAGAATAAACATATTTTAGAAATCTTACACGAAATGGAAAAGAAGAAACCATTAACAAACAATTATCAAAGTAAGGAAGTAGATCGAACCAATGGTGAATATAAAAATAAAAGAAATATTTATTTAAACAAACTTAATAACAAAGAAATTAAAGAACCGAAGGCTTCAACTATGACATTTTATCAAATTGACTATGATGAAGATACAGGGGTTTATTCTTGATTGAAAACATTTTTCTCTGAAAATCCGTTTAAAGACATATTGGCATAACTAATATTATGAGTTCTACAGATGACGAAGAAGAAACAGGATACACAATGGTTTATCCTTGCAGTAAATGCGACGAAGCAAAGCCAAGAAAGGATTTTCACAAAATGTGTGATAGAATTAAAATGGAAGAGATATTTTACAAAACATGTAAGGAATGCAGAGACAAAGTAAAAGCAACAAAAGAGTTAAGGAAGGAACAGAAGAAACGAATACAACCCATGGAAATACATAGATTAAAGCCTTCGATACCATAGTTTTGCTATACTTATAACATGTAAGATCTTATATGTTGTAATTATAGTATAGGTTTCCCGTATAAGCCGTGGTGGTGCTTTCCTACATAGGCCTTTCCCATCCGCATTTTGCCATCCATATTTTACTGGGATTGTTTTCAAGATTTGGGTTAACGGTTTTAATTCTCCTTTTTCCATTGGTTAACCATTTTTCGGGGAGTGATAATTTATGTAGTATGGCGGTGGGAGAGCTTAGAAAATACGCAGTTAGAAGACACTTAAAGACATGATGGTAAAT